TAATCTGTTACAGAAATGTCAGTTTTTCTAAGGAAAGGTTTGAGAAATTTATTTTTCATTTGAGATGGTAATTGTTGGGGCCTGTTGATGTTTTTTACTAGTATTTTCCCAAACCGCGTGAAACCCCTGATGTTTTTTGTTTTCCTGTTTTAAATTTTTTTTTCCCGCCCCGAACAGAAGGTTTTTTTCGTTTTTTTGTTAGATACTTCATTTTTGTACACTCCATTTTTAAAAGTAATTGCTGGTTTAATTAAAGGGCCTTTTTTTTTATTGTATGAATGAAGTCGGGGTTTATTTTACTGTGTTTACTTTTCCCGGGTTTTTCCCAGCAAAAGTGTTTCTTTGAAATTTTATTGTTTTTTCCGATGGGCTTGTAGTGGTTCTGTATTATTCCCGATAGCAGTTTTTTTTGCACTGTTTTTTGTGTTTTGTCACTTTGGGAAAGTGTGGGGTGTTTTTTTTAACTGCATCAGACAAAATTATCTTGGGTTTAGTTTTGTGTCTTGGAAATCAAGGCATTCATTTAGGGGATGGATGTTTTTGATTCCAGTCCTTGATTGCTTCTTCCCAACCCTTTTTATTTATTGGGTTTTTTGCTTTAGGGGTTTATGGGGTATAGCTTTCTTTTAGAGTATTTTCTGTTTTCAACAAATTTCCCGATGTAATCTTCTCTTTAAGGTTTTGGGTCTTGTTCTCGAGGTTGGTTTTTTCTTTTGGGTTCTCATCGCTTTGAGTTTTGCTTTGGGTATCTTTGTTTTCATTTTCTAGAGCAACGATGTAGTCCCTTGGGGTTTTAAAAAAAATTTTCAGGGGTTTAAACATACCTGAGTTATCTGGGTGATCCTTTGAAGGGGGGGTGGAGGTTTTGGGGGGGGAGTCAGCCATGTTTTGGGTGTTTTTTTGTTTTGTTGCCTGGGGGGGCGGTGGTGAGGGGGGGGGTGGGGGGAGAATACCCCCCGGGTCCCGCTGGGTAAAGGGCAAGTTGGATCTGGGTCCTTGCTGGGTTTTCCTATTATTTTTGGTGTTGTTTCTTTTTGGCCCCTAAACCTTTCATGTATCAAATGAAGTAGATTTGTGTAGCAATTTGGGGAGAAGGCTTGTTTTTCTCGGAGCTTGGGTTTTAAATGGCTGTCTGGGGGCAGAGGCAGTGTTTGGGTTGCAGGGCTGTCTTCCTTTGATCTTCTAATTTTTGTCAAGGGTTTGGGTTACCTTCTTTTGTATTCTTGGGTTTTGGGTTTTGGTCTAGTGGGGTTCATGTGTTTGGGAAATTTCAATTAGGCCATACAAGTTTTTTTTTTTGGGGCGATGTTTTTTTTTTTTAGGGAAAGGGAAAAGCTGGGGGGATACCGTTGCTGCCGCTGCCGCCCAATTAATCACTCTGTCAAAGTTGAATGACATGGGAGCATATAAAAACTGTAGGGGAAGGAAAGGGGGGGTAGGGGGTTTCTCCCAAAAAAGGGTTGGGGGGGAAGGGGGGGGGGAAAGGGAGGTTTTGGGGGCGAAGGGCTTGGACTTCCAGCAGGCGTTTTCATGAGCGTGGGTTTGATAGGAGTGAAAGGAGACGAATTTGGGATTTGGGGAAATTTACGATCTGTTGGAGTGCCCAAACAGGGGAATATTTAGTTGGGAAGGGGTTCAGGGAAACCGGTTATTTTTATATAGTCGACTTGGTCCCGGAAAAAGGGGAAATACAGTGCCTGCACTCTAAAAAGGGGGGGGTTTTGGGATATTACAAATTTTGGGGGGTTTTGTGTTATCTTTTTTTCGTATAAAGCTTTTAAACTGTTTTGGGTTTTTGGGGGACCTCTGCAAAAAAACAGGATTTGTTTTGAATGAGGTTTAAGTGTTGAAAGATGGGTGAAAAAATTTTTTTTTTTTGGGGGTTTTTTTCCCTTTTTTTTGGGGGCACCCCGCCTCCCGGGGGTTGAAACGGCCGACCCCTTGTTGAAAAAAAAAAAAATTGAAATGAAATTAATTAATTTTATTTTTGAAAAAAGAGGGGGGGAAAACATTAAACCCCCTAGAGGGTTTTATAGCCCTTTGGGGAAAGGGAGGCATTTGGGAAACAATCTAAAGGGAAGGGGCAGGTCCAGTTTCCCAAAATCAAGGCCCTTCACCGCTTTAAGGAACCTCCCTTGAGGGGGTAGGTGGCCCGGTGGCTAAAAGTCCTGCTTCACACACTGAGGGCCCCGGGTTCAAATTTCCCCGGGGGGCATAAAATTTCGACACATTTCCCTTTCGCCTGTTTTCCTGTTCACCTAGCAGCAAATAGGTACCTGGGGTTTAGTTGACTGGTGTGGGTCGCATCTTGGGGGGCAAGATTGAGGGGCCCCCAAAAGGAAATAAATTAGGGCAGTCCTCGATGACCCCAGACTTTCTTGGGTTATCCTGGGGGGGCCAACCTCCGGGGGTTAAAAAACCAAACGGGAAAACTTAATTTTTTTATCCTTTAAAAAACACCCAAATTTCTTATGTATTTAATGTACATCCCTTTGGGGAATAATGTTTTTAAAAGCCCCGAAAGCCTGTGTGGTTGTTTTTTTATTCAGCATTTGTTGTATTTATTTTAAATTTATATCTTCCGGTTTTACTGCCCCCTATATTTGCCAAAGTATGCATACACACGGGGTTTAAAACTGTATTTTCAAAATTTCTTTTTAAAAAATTTGTTTAAAAAAACTTTAAAATTTTTTGGGTTCCCTGCTGTGTGGGATAGGGGAGTCGAGCAGATTTGGGGGCTGGTTTTTTTGGGTGGGGTGCCGTCCTCTCCCTTTTCGGTTTTACTTGTATTCATCATCCCGGGGCAGGGTGGAGACTGCCTGGGTGCCCACCACCCGATCACACCCAGGTTTTGGGCCCAAAATAAATGTATTTTTTAAACCAAAAGGGACCACTTATTTTAAACTTTTGTTAAAAAAAAATTTAACTTTAAAATAATAATTAAAAACCCCGAAAAAGTTTTTTTTTATTTTTTACTATTATTATCTTTAGTTAGGTATTCCCATTTTTAAATGATTATTAAATCCTTTTTGGTCATTCAATTTCAAGAAAAGTGCAGTTATTGCTACTGCCCTGGTGGATGTTTTTTTTAGTTTTTTTAAAAAAAAAAATCATTTTATACAAAAGTATTGCATAATATAGTATAGGTCTTCCCACATAAGAATATCAAAAAGCATATGAAACAGGGGTGCCCAGTGAAAACCCATGGGAATGGTCAGTGTTTAAAAGGACTTGGGCTAGAGTGGGCCAGTGACCCTACTTTCAGTGCCTTTTTTCTTTTGTTTTTTTTTTTTTGGATTGGGCTACAGTTTCCTTAATTTGGGATTTTCAAAGGAAGCCCCCTCGAAACTTAAAAATATCCTTTTACAAACCCTTGTACAATTTTAGTTTAAAAGGAAAATTTTGTGGCACTCAAGTCTTACATTTAAAAAACAGAAAATTGCGAAAAAGTATTTTTAATACCTCCTTTTTTTTTAAAAATTTTATTAAAAATTTTTTTACCTTAAATTTTAAAAAAACAAACTGCCCAAAACTTCAGACGGGAAAAACTGTTGTATGGGGGGTAGCAAAACCCCCCCTGTATTTAAAATTTCCAAAAAGGTAAAAAAAAGAAAAAATTACGTTTCTTCTTTTTTGAGTCACCCTGCCTTGGTGGGGGACGGGTTGTTACAAAAGAAAAAATATGTACATGTTAATACAATTCAAAAATAATTTTAATGTATATATCTTAAAAAATACAGATTTTTTTTTTTTTTCAAACAAGTTGGTCGTCTCCCACTGAGGCAGGGTGACCCAAAAAAGAAAGAAAATCCCCAAAAAGAAAATACTTTCATCATCATTCAACACTTTCACCACACTCACACATTATCACTGCTTTTGCAGAGGTGCTCAGAATACAACAGTTTAGAAGCATATATATATAACAGATACACAACATATCCCTCCAAACTGCCAATATCCCAAACCCCTCCTTTAAAGTGCAGGCATTGTACTTCCCATTTCCAGGACTCAAGTCCGACTATAAGAAAATAACCGGTTTCCCTGAATCCCTTCACTAAATATTACCCTGCTCACACTCCAACAGATCGTCAGGTCCCAAGTATCATTCGTCTCCATTCACTCCTATCTAGCACGCTTGCTGGAAGTCCAAGCCCCTCGCCCACAAAACCTCCTTTACCCCCTCTTTCCAACCCTTTCGAGGACGACCCCTACCCAGATATTGGATATTAATTTGAAACCTCAGGTACTTTAGAGCATTTGCATATACACTGTATTTTACTTTTGATTACAGCCTCTCCTCACTTAGCGATGTACTCGTTTAGTGGCGAATCGGACTTACGATGGGCTCTCTGACCAGTATGCATACCTAAATAATGTATATTAGAGCTGATTTCCTCTATTCTGTTTATTACAGTATACAGTACACTACCGTATAAACATTTAAAAATATACCAGATATGTTCAAAATGGTGCAAATATGACAAAACAATATCAAAGATCGTTGACACAAAACCCATTACCATTATAATATTGCTCCTCACTTAGCGACGAATTTGTTTCCCGATGTGGTCTTAGGAATGGAACTCCATCGTTAAGTGAGGAGAGGCTGTATTATGAATACTGTATGGTAAAACAAAATATTATGTAAGCTTTTGGTTCATGAAAAGCAACATAAATGAGAATTCTATATGTAGTCTTTCTAGGAAAGTTGTTCTTCAGAGACCAGAAGAAAAGGAGGGATCATCAATATAAATGACAAGAAACCAAGAAATCACAGGAGAAACTTCGCCTGCTTTTAGATGCCCATTGGTCATTATACATACATTCCAAAAGTGTCCATTAAAAAAATCAGTCTACAGCAATAGTGGGAATGCAAGAAACACAGAATTAAGAAGAAAATCAATTTTGAGTGACGTAGCTTTTAGAATTTTAGGCAAATTAATACAGCATAGAATGTATTTCCCCATTTTACATATACAGTACAGTCCACTGTACCCCATGGAGATAAATGGTATACAACATGATGGAAAAAATACACATAAATGCAGTATAATGCAATCCTTTATTGACAACATGTATATAAGGAGGATAGTGACGTGAAGGGTCAGGTGAGGAATGTTGAAGTTGATTGATGAGAAGACGTCCTTCTCAAATTCAGCTTCTTCTCAGCAATCACTTTCAACATTTCTCACCTGACCCTTCACATCATTATGCTCCTTACATATACACATGTACTTTCTGCTCAGGTAGATCTGCTTTTAATTTGATAAAGCCAACTGTGTGGGCAAAAACATTAAGAAAGGATTCTATTATGCTGCATTTGTCTATTTTCGCACTATATCCCCTTATTCAAATGTGCACTGATATTAATATATGTTTGTATTTAACATTTCACTATAAGTGGGCAGGAAAATGCATTGGTTTATAAACCTTTCAATCAAACTTACTCAATTCATTCCTGATCACATCAAAAAATCTAATTAGGGGTTATTAAATGATCAATAAAAGCTGATGTCCAGTTATATTACATTAAACTGTAAATAAATTAATTTAGGATTTAGAAGGCATTAACATGGTATTGTAACAAAGATTGAATTCCATCCTCCAGCATAAATTCTTGTGACACCGCTGTTGAATACCTGAGTAGGTTCCTCAGTCATATCTGTGTGACCCAGTCCAAGCTGCCCATACCTAAAATTTTAAATTAATCACATTAATATTAAATTATATAAGGGATACAATTAATTGTTGTTCTTTTTCCAGGAACTGATTATTATGCTAAATTTGAATATACAACAAATATACTGCACATTATACACAGAGTAAACATGTTCAGGTTTAATATGAACTGTGATAAAATCTTATGAACATCTGAGAAAGAAAATGTTCTTTGAATGATTGTCCCTTCAAAGGAGTTGTCATCAAAGATCAAACTTCATTTCCTCCCATTTCTCAAGCACTGTATGACCTCTAAGTTCAGAGCTTCCCAATGAATATAATAATAATATGATGATGATTGTAAGCAATAGAGAACAGATTTTGGATTTGTGCATTTTTTACCATAAAAATATTGGTAGGTCACTCTAAATGAAATAAAATGTACTATAAGCCTCTTCATACATTGTGATATTTTCACCAAAATGAGAAGGTAATTTTTCTTTGCTGTAGTACTTCAAGATGTATTCCTCAAGGCAGATATAATGTTTCAGGAAATACATTCAAGTTAGATGACATATTAAATGGCCAATCAAATCAAATAAACACTGAAGATCTTTTTTTTTAATATTGTCTTTTTCTTGTAGTATATGTAATCTTCTTTCAACAAACTGGCCATATCCCACCGAGGCAGGGTGGCCCAAAAAGAAAAATGAAAGTTTCTCTTTTCAACTTTAGTAATGTATAAAGAAAAAGGGGCTACTAGCGCCTTGCTCCCGGCACGTTATATGCCTCTTATGACACGCATGGCTTACGGAGGGAGAATTCTGTTCTACTTCCCCATGGAGATAAGAGGAAATAAACAAGAACTATTAAGAAAATAAAAGAAAACCCAGAGGGGTGTGTGTGTATTATATATATATTTTTTTTTTTCAACAAGTCGGCCGTCTCCCACCGAGGCAGGGTGACCCAAAAAAGAAAGAAAATCCGCAAAAAAGAAAATACTTTCATCATCATTCAACACTTTCACCACACTCGCACATTATCACTGCTTTTGCAGAGGTGCTCAGAAATACAACAGTTTAGAAGCATATACGTATAAAGATACACAACATATCCCTCCAAACTGCCAATATCCCAATCCCCTCCTTTAAAGTGCAGGCATTGTACTTCCCATTTCCAGGACTCAAGTCTGACTATATGAAAATAACCGGTTTCCCTGAATCCCTTCACTAAATATTACCCTGCTCACACTCCAACAGATCGTCAGGTCCCAAGTATCATTCGTCTCCATTCACTCCTATCTAACACGCTCATGCACGCTTGCTGGAAGTCCAAGCCCCTCGCCCACAAAACCTCCTTTACCCCCTCTTTCCAACCCTTTCGAGGACGACCCCTACCCCTCCTTCCTTCCCCTATAGATTTATATGCTTTCCATGTCATTCTACTTTGATCCATTCTCTCTAAATGACCAAACCACCTCAACAACCCCTCTTCTGCCCTCTGACTAATACTTTTATTAACTCCACGCCTTCTCCTAATTTCCACACTCCGAATTTTCTGCCTAATATTTACACCACACATTGCCCTTAGACAGGACATCTCCACTGCCTCCAACAGTCTCCTCGCTGCTGCATTTACCACCCAAGCTTCACATCCATATAAGAGTGTTGGTACTACTATACTTTCATACATTCCCTTCTTTGCCTCCATAGATAACGTTTTTTGACTCCACATATACCTCAATGCACCACTCACCTTTTTTCCCTCATCAATTCTATGATTAACCTCATCCTTCATAAATCCATCCGCCGACACGTCAACTCCCAAGTATCTGAAAACATTCACTTCTTCCATACTCCTCCTCCCCAATTTGATTTTCCAATTTTTCTTTATCTAAATCATTTGATACCCTCATCACCTTACTCTTTTCTATGTTCACTTTCAACTTTCTACCTTTACACACATTCTCAAACTCATCCACTAACCTTTGCAATTTTTCTTTAGAATCTCCCATAAGCACAGTATCATCAGCAAAAAGTAACTGTGTCAATTCCCATTTTTAATTTAAATTCCCTATAATTAATCCCACCCCTCTCCCGAACACCCTAGCATTTACTTCTTTTAAAACCCCCATCTTAAATATATTAAACAACCATGGTGACATTACACATCCCTGTCTAAGACCTACTTTTACGGGAGAAATCTCCCTCTCTTCTACACACCCTAACCTGAGCCTCACTATCCTCATAAAAGCTCTTTACAGCATTTAGTAACTTACCACCTATTCCATATACTTGCAACATCTGCCACATTGCTCCTCTATCCACTCTATCATATGCCTTTTCTAAATCCATAAATGCAATAAAAACTTCCCTACCTTTATCTAAATACTGTTCACATATATGCTTAAATGTAAACACTTAATCTACACATCCCCTACCCACTCTGAAGCCTCCCTGCTCATCCGCAATCCTACATTCTGTCTTACCTCTAATTCTTTCAATTATAACCCTACCGTATACTTTTCCTGGTATACTCTGTAAAAATTATAGAGGAATAAGTTTACTATCTCTTTTGTCCCCTTTCCCTTTATATAAAGGGATTATACATGCTCTCTGCCAATCCCTAGGTACCTTCCCCTCTTTCATACATTTATTAAACAAAAGTACCAACCACTCCAACACTATATATACCCCTGCTTTTAACATTTCTGTCATGATCCCATCAGTTCCAGCTGTTTTACCCCCTTTCATTCTACATAATGCCTCACGTACCTCCACCACACTTACATTCTGCTCTTCTTCACTCCTAAAAGATGGTAACTCCCTGGCCAGTGCATGAAATTACCGCCTCCCTTTCTTCCTCAACATTTAAAAGTTCCTCAAAATATTCTCGCCATCTACCTAATACCTCCCTCTCCCCATCTACTAACTCCCCTACTCTGTTTTTAACTGACAAATCCATACTTTCCCTAGGCTTTCTTAACTTGTTTAACTCACTCCAAAATTTTTTCTTATTTTCATTAAAATTTCTTGACAGTGCCTCTCCCACTCTATCATCTGCTCTCCTTTTGCACTCTCTCACCACTACTCTTCCACCTATTCTTTTCTCTCCATATACTCTGCTCTTTTATAACACTTCTGCTTTGTAAAAACCTCTCATAAGCTACCTTTTTCTCTTTTATCACACCCTTTACTTCATTCATTCCACCAATCACTCCTCTTCCCTCCTGCCCCCACCCTCCTATAACCACAAACTTCTGCCCCACATTATAATACTGCATTTTTAAAACTATTCCAACCCTCTTCAACCCCCCCACTACTCATCTTTGCACTAGCCCACCTTTCTGCCAATAGTCGCTTATATCTCGCCCGAACTTCCTCCTCCCTTAGTTTATACACTTTCATCTCCCTCTTACTTGTTGTTGCCACCTTCCTCTTTCTCCCATCTACCTCTTACTCTAACTGTAGCTACAACTAATAATGATCCGATATATCAGTTGCCCCTCTATAAACATGTACATCCTGGAGCCTACCCATCAACCTTTTATCCACCAATACATAATCTAACAAACCACTTTCATTACATGCTACATCATACCTTGTATATTTATTTATCCTCTTTTTCATAAAATATGTATTACTATTACCAAATTTCTTTCTACACATAACTCAATTAAAGGCTCCCCATTTAATTTACCCCCCCCCCCCCAAAATTTTTCCCCTACTACCCCCTCAAAAAACATTTTTTCCCCCATTTTAGCTTTAAAATCCCAACCACCTTTCCCTTTCCCCATTTGGGATTAAAAACCCCCCAAAATCTCTCTTTCCTCTACACTTCTCTCTTCTCCAGGTCATCCCGTTTACTATAACCCACTTTTACATCCAATCTTTATTTTACTCCACTTTAATTTTTGAATTAATCATTTGTAGCCCCTTTTTTCCCGCCATAGCTTATCCTTCAACTTATTGCTACTCCTTCTTTAGCTCTAATCAATTTGAAACCCCTGACCAAACCCCTTTTATTCTCCCATTGAAACTTCCCACCCCTTCGCTTTTTTTTACTTAAAGCCGGGACATCCGCTTTTTCCTTTCTAACACCCACAATCTTCTTTCTTATCTTTTTGCAAACACCACGTCTTTTTCGATTTCCCATTTGAAAATTTTCTTCTTTTATTCTTTTTAGTAATTTTTACGGGAAAAGGGGTTACTAGTCCATTGCCCCCGGGCATTTTAGTTGACTTTTAAAACCGGGCTTCGGAGGAAAGATTCTTATTCCATTCCCCCATGGATAAAAAAAGGAAAAGAAATAAGACCAAGAACTTTTAAGATAAAATCAAAGAAAACCAGATGAGTGGTATAAAAAACGTGTACATGATGTGTAGTGTGGCCAAAGTGAAAGTAAAGGAGCAAACATGCCTGTAATTTGCATTTTTATGGAAGACAAAAGCCCAGCAATCCTACAATCATGTAAAACAAAGGCTTTTTTTTTTACACTCCTTGGCAGGACGGTAGTATTTCTTGGGGGGTTTGCGTTTACCAACCTACTACTACTAATTATTATTATTATTTATTTTTTTTTTGAAAAGTTAACCATAGAAATTGATAAAGGGGAAAAAAAGGCTGTGGTCGTTGAGGTTTGGGGAACAAAAAACATTATCTATGGGGGCAAAAAAGGGGAATGTATGAAAGCATAGTAGTACCCAAAACTCTTATATGGGTGAAAACTTGGGTTTAAATGCTGCAGGAGGAGGGGGTTGGGAAATGGAGATGTCCCGTTAAGGGCAATGTGTGGTGGAATAATGCAGAAAATTCAGGTGTGGAAAATTTGGAAAGGTGTGGGTTAAAAAAAGTATTAATCAGGGGCTGAAGGGGGTTGTTGAGGTGGTTTTCATTTAGAGAGAATGGATCAAAGTAGAATGACTGGAGAACGTATAAGTCTTAGGGGAAGGAAGGGGGGTAGGGGGCGTGTCAAAGGTTGGAGGGAGGGGGGGAAAGGGGGTTTGGGTTGGGGAGGGGGTTGGACCCCAGCAAAAGTGCGTGGCGTTTAGATAGGGTGAATGGAGACGAATGGTATTTTTGGGCTGATGATCTGTTGGAGTGGAGCGGGTAATATTTAGTGAAGGGATTCAGGGAAACCGGTTATTTTTACATAGCCGGATTTAGTCCTGGAAATGGGGAAGTACAATTCCTGCACTTTTTAAAGGGGGGGGTTTAGGATATTAGCGTTTGGAGGGATATGTGTGTATCTTTATAATGTTGTTCAAACTGTTTTTGGTTTCTGAGCACCCCTCAAAAAAAGTGATTATGTGTGAGGAGGAAAAAAAGTTGAAGAGAAAGTATTTTCTTTTTGGGGATTTTCTTTCTTTTTTGGGGCACCCCGCCCCGGGGGGGAGACGGCCCCCGACTTGTTTAAAAAAAAAAAAAAAACAGGAAACCGGTTATTTTTATATAGTGGGTTTTGAGTCCTGAAAAGGGGAAATACAATGCCTGCACTTTAAAGGGGGTTTGGGAATTTTTGGCAGTTTGGATGGTAGTTGGTATCTTTATACGATATTTTCAAACTAAAAAACAGTGATTAGTGTAAGTGGGGTAAAAGTGTTGAATGAGATAAAAAGGGTTTTTTTTTTTGGGGTTTTCTTTTTTTTTTTTGGGCACCCTGCCTGGGGCAGACGCCGACTTGTTAAAAAAAAAAAATAAAAAATAAAAAAAAAAAATAAGTAGGGATATTTAGTATCTCTGGGTTTAGTGGGTTGGTAGACAGCAACCCCCCAGGGGGGTAACCGTCCCCCAAGTGAGTGTAAAGCTGAAGCCTGAAAATTTTTTTAAAAACGATGGTAAATTGCTGTTGTCTTTTTTTTATTTTCTCATACCATCAAGATTTCGGGTATGTCTTGTACTTCTACTTACATTTAGGTCACACTACACATACTGACAAGCAATTATACAACCCCCCTTTTGGGGTTTTTCTTCTTTTTTCTTTCTAGTTCTTTTTCTTGTTTATTTCCTCTTACCCTCCAGGGGAAGGGGAAAAGAATTTTTCCTCCGAAGCCATGCGTGTTGTAAGAGGGACTAAAATGCCGGGGGCAAGGAGCTAGTAACCCCTTTTCCTGTATATATTACTAAATGAAAAGGAGAAAATTTTTGTTTTTCCTTTTGGGCCCCCCCCGTCGGGGGAAACGGCCGGTGTGTTGAAAAAAAATTTTTAATCTATATAGCTAGATTTCTAACACTTTTATGGAGGCTTCTCATCTCACTCTACTAACACTATTATTATGAAGGTTCAAAAAAAATAGTTCAGCAGATGGAAGTTTTAGAAGACTGGCAGGTACAAGTTTTACATTGTTGATGCATAGGATTTATGTAGATCTCAGTAAATATTAGACCATGAAAGACATCTAGAGAGTAAGTGATAGAGATTTTTTTTTTTTTTCATTTTTGGGGCCTTGATGGGAAATGGTCGTGTTAAAAAAAAATTAACATATAAAGCAGACTTAAGCCATCTAGTATTTTTGTACTCATTATATTTTCACTTACTTGTTCATACCAACTGACCAGGCACTGCCATCATCTGCAATATAAAAAGATTATATGTGACCTAAGTGTCTCATTTTCATTCAAAATGAGAATACACTTCAGTAAAACAAGAATGCTAGGAAAACTATATTTACAGTGGTAATATTTATAATGCGAGAAAAACTACATTTGCAGTGGTAATATTTATACCATTCAATGGTTACTCTTATTTTTAATGACATACCATACTTATACATAATGGACTGCTTGCTCTACTTAAAAAGTACTGTATACAGAACTAAAAAAAAAAGTTTTGCAATGAAACCAGTTTATTTTTAGATACTTAGCAATTCTCTTATTAGATTCAATGTCCTGACTCACCAGCAGTCAAGGTCACAAACAGGCCCAATCCATGATTACTACCCAAAATTTCCTGTTAACATTGCCTGCCAAGTCACAGAAATCTGCCAAAACCTTTTTCCCATTATGACAAGGTGAAAAAAGACAAATGCACTAAAGTCCGTTATTTGTACAATGCTGAGTGAAATATTGCACAAGTGAAGGACTCACTGCAATTGTCTTTTTCAGTAACTGTTGGGATTTTGCTACTGTTTTCACTAAAATTAATTTATAGATTAAATCATTTGAGATCTTTCACAACCTACCTAGCTGAAATAGGGTGTGTCTATCTCCACACTGGACATCCACAACTTTTACATGCTCACTCCAGAAGTCCAACAATCTTGGAGAGGCCTGAACATTCACCACATCTTTGGTATGCTCTTGGTTTACTCTATCAAGTAAAGGGTTTGAGTTCTCTTCTTTTCTCACTTTTTCAACATTTTTTCGGCACCAACATTTATGTTCAAATGATCCAAAGATTGAATGATTACTCTGAGATTTGGATGGGAACCCTAACTGTCCACTCTCATTCCAACCCCAAACATAGACATCTCCGCTGCTGCTTAATGCTGTAAAAAATAGATGGTAACATTATTATAAAAGAGAGAGCATAGGAAATGTTAACAATAATAAACTGTTAACCAAAAATTATACAGTATTATCATTTATGGGACTCCTATTTGTGTAATGTAAATTTAAGTTATAACTGCAGAAGCTGCAAAGATATAATGTAAAATATTGTAAACAAACCATATTCATTTTCGACTTATGATGGGTTCGTCGGAACATAACCCCATCATAAGTCAAGAAGCACCTGTATATAGATGATAGCTAGTGATACTCTTTAATATGTAGTATCCAAATACTATATATTTATTTACTTATTCAGTGACAGTAGTTATTTATCTACTTGTTTATTTAGCATATCATATTCATTTTCAATTTACAATGGGTTCATCAGAACGTAACCCCATCAAAAGTCAAGGAGCACCTGTATATCAATGATAGCTAGCGATAATTTTAAATATGCAATATCTATATATACGTATATATATAAGGCTCACCAACAGAGTGCCATCCTCCGCACACAACAGATGAAATGGTAATACCCTGGAGGTGCTCCACTAACTCAGGTTTTTCCCTTTGGCATATTTCGCCATTGCCTAATTGTCCACGCCTGAAAATTAAGCTAAATTATTATTTGGAAATTATAACTCTAAAATATGGGAAAACTTGATGAAATACCTAACTGTATATAGATTGATCAAATGTTAAATTAAGGCATAGATTAAGAAAATATATAGATAAGAATTCTGTAGAAGTAACTATATAAACTGTATGTCAACATCGACCTTACAACAGCTTACAAAGCAATGAATTATCTCTAGATGGTCAAAATACATACAAACTGAAGCAACTTTGCAAGCATGCCAGACACCTTGAATCTAAAGAAAAAATATATCACTTCATATAACAAAAAGGGTTGCTTATGAGAATCACCTTTCAAGGTGCCTTGATGCTGGCCAAGTGTTTTGAGTCAAACACTTAATAACCTCCCATTCCCCAGCTACAGTAGGATCCATGTGAGTTTAGTATTTTCTATGAATATAATACTGTCACCCCTCTGGAGAGACTGGAGTGAGTGATGGTGAAAGTTTTTTTTTCTTTCTTTTTTTTTTTGGGTTCACCCTGCCTCAGAGAGAGAACTGGTGTGTTAAAAAAAAAAAAAGTTAAAGTCTACACACCTGAACCTGAACCTCCCTTTATGAATAAAAATTATTTACTGCTTTAGTAACCTACCACCTAGTTCATACATTTACTGCCTCTGCTACAATACTGCCCTAGTCACCCTCTTATAAGCCTTTCCTAAAGCCAACAGTGCCTTACCCTTATTTAGGTACTGCTCACTTACTATATATGCTTCAGTGTAAACACTTCTTACACACATCCCCTACTCCTCTACCCTAAATCCTCCTTGTTCCTCTAAAATCTTACTTTGTCTAATCCTGACTCTCAATTTATAATAATTCTATCATATACTTTACCTGGTATGCATATTTAACAGGCTTATTGCCCTATAATTCTGGCACTTTCTCTTGTCCCTTTTTCCTCTTTAGTCAAAGGAATTACATATGCTCTCTCTCCATCTTTAGGTAGCTTTCACTCCAAGACTGTATCCTCACCTGTTTTTAGCATCCTATAATTAATCCCATCTGACCTAGCTGCTGATACAATTCAACAGAAACTTCAGTTAAGCTGTAAAAAAAAAAAATTTCAATTAAAAGTTATTAGTTGCATGATTCTGATCTGTAGTTAGTTCATACAAACATTTATACATCATACCGGTACATTAAAATAGTCATTAAGGGTCACACCTTTCTAACAATGTGCAAAGTGAATATTACTTCACTACTATACGCACATTCCACCACCCCAAGTGAGGACATCTCCATTTGTTGTCAGTGCCATACTATGTTCTTTTCCCACTGCAACTTCAGTAACTTTTAACCCAAGTGAGATAGGAATGCTGCCAGAATACATTTTTCCATCTGTTGGGATACAATAAATTTAATATTTTTTTATGGTTAGCTATGGTGCTATAACTTCTTGCTACTTCAGAATGCAAAATTACCCTATTTTAGGAAAGGTGATACTTGCATTAAAATATCTTCTTGTTCAAGGAAGCACATAATGCTGATAATAACAAAGTTGAAATTGCAAACTGAGAGCAAAACATTATCTACCAATAAAGTCTTCTACCAATCTGGCATTTCAACTGTACAAAACTTCTTAATGTTGATTAATACACATTACATGATTAAACTAAGACAATAATGTAATATTATCTACATACAGCTGAAAGCACTGTACAGTACTGGTATATTTTGCACCAGGATAATAACACTCATAGCCTACATTTGCCATTTTGTCTCATTTCATCCATTATTATATCCATGTACTGGCCAGTACGGTAAAATAAGTAGCCACACACAGTACAGGTCAACCATCACTAATCCGGCATAATTGGGACCTGCTGGGTGCCGGATTAGTGATTTTGTCGGATCACAGAGTGGTGCAGACCTTTTAGCATTTCATCTATCAACTGAATTTGAAATTACGCTAGCCGAAATTAGTGCTGGATTAGTGATGGAACTGGATTTGTTTGCCAGATCAGTGATGGGCGACCTGCAGTGACCAAATAGGAAAGCTTCCACAAAGCTGGAGGTGAAGGTGTGTATGTCGGATCCTTTAAGGGTCTATTTTCAGGAATGTGTATATAAATGCTGACATATTCATCAAGCTTCTTGAATGGCTAATATGATGAATAATTATTATTTTAAAGAACATACAGTACTGTATAAATTTTATATTTAAATTTAAATTATTTATGTTACTAAAATTAATAAAAGAATGAAGTCAATTTTAATTTAACAAAAGCATCCGACTTGTAATAAATATCAGTACAGCCTCTTCTCACTTAGAGACGTGTACTCATTTACCGACGACTCAGACTTACGATGGGCTCTCTGACCAGTATGCATACCTCAATAATGGATATTAGATATACAGTACACTACTGTAGAAACATTTAAAAATATACTAAATATTTTATAAATGGTACAAAGGTGACATTAACCCTTTCAAGGTTTCGGACATACTACTACGGCTTACGCACCAGGGTTTTTGACATACTAGTACGCCTAAATTCTAGCGCCCTCAAATCTAGTGAGACAAAGCTGGTAGACCTACATATGAAAGAATGGGTCTATGTGGTCAGTGTGCACAGTATAAAAAAATCCTGCAGCACAGTACGTAATGAGAAAAAAAAAAACTTTGACCGTGTTTTTGGATTAAAACAGCGACTTTGCACTGTATTTTCGTATCGTATTTATTGTTGTATTCTAGTTTTCCTGGTCTCATTTTATAGAATGGAAGACATATTACAGAAATTGAGATGATTTTGACTGGTTTTACAATGAAAAGTACCTTGAAATTGAGCTCAAAGTAGCAGAAATGTTCGATTTTTACCAAAGTTCGAAAGTAAACAAATCATGCTAAGTGTCCAATACACGTCAACTGGCGAGTCTAATATTCTTTCACAAGTGCGCCGATACTATTTATACCATTTCTACACTAATGCAGTAGTCTGCATAACAGTAAATCTTCTATTTTTTGTGAGAATAAAAATTCAAAGTGGAAAGCAGAAGAATATAAGAGGGGCATGGGGACATGACTAATGAACAGAGGAAATGTTATTTTAGTGCCAGGAATGTCTTTCTTGTTTATTCTGGACCCTACTTGGAAATTGGCATCTTTTGAAATTTGTGTGAAATTGGCAAAATTGCTAAATTTTGACCACTGTATTGGATAGTTGTAATTGGTAAATGGGTGGTTTCTCGTACTCATTTCGGTAGAAAAAATGGAGTTCTAGCGAAATAGTTATTATTTTTGTCGACTAGTACACTGGAATTGGCTGAAAATTGGGCTCAAAGTGGGCAAAATCGCCAATGCGTAAACATCATTGAGACTGCTAACTTTGCGAGAGCATAATTCCATAAGTTTTCCATCAAATTTCATGCTTTTGGTGTCATTATGATTGGGAAAATATTCTCTATCTTTTCATAAGAAAAAATTATTTTTTTTTTTTGAAATTTGGGGGACCCTGAGAACAAGTCTCTGAGAGGGCCTGTGGACCCTGAAAGGGTTAAAACAATATCAAAGATGGTTGACACAAATCCAGTACCATTATAGTATGCTCCTAGCTTAGCAATGACCTTGTTTACCGACGTGGTCTTAGGTAACAAACTCTGTTGTTAAGTGAGGAAAGGCTGTATTGTATATAGATGACTTACCTTTACCAAGTGCTAGAAGAACATTATCTTCAACAGCAACATGGCAGAAAACTATATGGGGCTTGTTGGATTCGAGAGTTTGCATTCCACAACTTGCATTGTGCAACTTTTCCTGCATCATTTTTTTCCTAATACTGTTATCCTGTAATTTACTTGGCATTTTTCTCTTACCCCTACTGGCAAGGCAAATTCCTTTCATAGAATCATCCTCCACAGATACCAGTGACAATCCATCACAATCTTCTTCAGTTTTCTTATGATCGGAATTAGTGCAACTTTCATGTTCCTCCTTTCCAATTAGATTATCTGAATACCTCTGATTCTGGGTGCCTGAATAAACCTCTGCAGCAGCATCTGTTGCTTCAGTGTAATCGTTTTGGAAGTGCAGAGTCCTCCATCCCTTGTCCTCCCACACAACCAGAGAGCCAGTACTACTGATTGCTACAGTACGATTCTCACTGATGAAAACCTGAAGTAAATTATCATGCAGTAAATATCAGGCCCTGACAATAGTAAGGGCAAATTCAACATCTTGACCAGAGTCAAACTGGCTGTAAAACAATAACACAAGAGCATGGGCCAATAGGCCTGGCATAGTGCTCCATCTTATGTTCTTATATTTTGTCTATCACACTTTAGCTATTTCCTACCATGACAGGATGATCCATAGAAGGAAACACATTCACCATCACTCATTCAGTAGCTATTTGCACAGTGTTTTGTAGGTAATTACCAAATTTCAAAAGTTGAGCTTACCCTAATTATAACATTATCTATCAACTTCAGCTTCCCCTGTCCAGATTACAGTGTAACAGTAATACAAAAATCCTATTTGGGGTAAGCCTGAAGAATGACAGAAACCTTTATATCATATGTATCTTATTGGAAAACAAAATTATTATTATAAAATAATGCTCAGTTATGAATAGTGAAGGAAACCAACAAAAGAAAGGTAAAAAGAATGGAAATAAAGTGTGATTGTATGTATGTGAGAAAGAAAAATCTATCAACAAAATTGTCTGAAACACTTTTGCACATTTTACTGTTTTAAATACAATAAATAGAATAATACATAGTTAGTAGGTTGGTAGACAGCAACCACCCAGGGAGGTACTACCGTCCTGCCAAGTGAGTGTAAAACGAAAGCCTGTAATTGTTTTACATGATGGTAGAATTGCTGGTGTCTTTTGTCTGTCTCATAAATATGCAAAATTACAGGTACGTATTGCTACTTCTACTTACACTTAGGTCACACTACACATACATGTACACATTTATTTATACACACTCATCTGAGTTTTCTTTGATTTTATCTTAACAGTTCTTGTTCTTATTACTTTTCCTTTTATATCCATGGGAAGTGAAATAAGAATCTTTCCTCCGTAAGCCATGCGTGTTGTAAAAGTCAACTAAAATGCCGGGAACAATGGGCTAGTAACCCCTTTTCCTGTAATAATTACTAAAAAGAATAAGAAGAAGAAAATTGTCAAAGTGGGATGTCTGAATGTGCATGGATGTTGTGCAAATGATAAGAAAGAGATGATTGTGGATGTTATGAATGAAAAGAAGCTGGATGTCCTGGCTTTAAATGAAACAGAGCTGAAGGGGGTGGGAGAGTTTCAGTGGAGAGGAATAAATGGGATTAGGTCAAGGGTTTCAAATAGTGTTAGAGCTAAAGAAGGAGTAGCAATAATGCTGAAGGATAATCTATGGCAGGAAAAGAGGGACTATAAATGCATTAATTCAAGGATTAAAATAAAGGTTGGATGTGAAAAGTGGGTTATAGTAACCATATATGCACCTGGAGAAGAGAGAAGTGTAGAGGAGAGAGAGAGATTTTAGGAAATGTTGAGTGAATGCATGGGGAGTTTTGAACCAAGTGTGAGAGTACTTGTGGTTGAGGATTTCAATGCTAAAGTGGGTAAAAATGTTCTGGAGGGAGTAGTAGGTAAATTTGGGGTGCCAGGGGTAAGTGAAAATGGGGAGCCTTTAATTGAGCTATGTGTAGAGAGAGGTTTGGTAATAAGTAATACATATTTTATGAAAAAGAGGATAAATAAATATACAAGGTATGATATAGCAAGTAATGAAAGTAGTTTGTTAGATTATGTATTGTGGATAAAAGTTTGATGGGCAGGCTCCACGATGTACACATTTATAGAGGGGTAACTGATATATTGGATCATTATTTAGTTGTAGCTACAGTTAGAGTAAGAGGTAGACGGGACAAGAAGAAAATGGCAACAACAAGTAAGAGGGAGGTGAAAGTGTATAAACTAAGGGAGGAGGAAGTTCGGGCAAGATATAAGCAACTATTGGCAGAAAGGTAGGCTGGTGCAAGAATGAGTAATGGGGGGGTTGAAGAGGGTCAGAATAGTTTTAAAAATGCAGTATTAGAATGTGGGGCAGAAGTTTGTGGTTATAGGAGGGTGGGTGCAGGAGGAAAAAGGAGTGATTGGTGAAATGATGAAGTAAAGGGTGTGATAAAAGAGAAAAAGGTAGCTTATGAGAGGTTTTTACAAAGCACAAGTGTTATAAGAAGAGTAGAGTATATGAAGAGTAAAAGAAAGGTGAAGAGAGTGGTGAGAGAGTGCAAAAGGAGAGCAGATGATAGAGTGGGAGAGGCACTGTCAAGAAATTTTAATGAAAATAAGAAAAAAAATTGTAGTGAGTTAAACAAGTTAAGAAAGCCTAGGGAACAAATGGATTTGTCAGTTAAAAACAGAGTAGGGGAGTTAGTAGATGGGGAGGTGGAGGTACTGGGTAGATGGCGAGAATATTTTGAGGAACTTTTAAATGTCGATGAAGAAAGGGAGGCAGTAATTTCATGCACTGGCCAGGGAGGTATACCATCTTTTAGGAGTGAAGAAGAGCAGAATGTGAGTGTGGGGGAGGTGCGTGAGGTATTATGTAGAATGAAAGGGGGTAAAGCAGCTGGAACTGACGGGATCATGATAGAAATGTTAAAAGCAGGGGTATATATAGTGTTGGAGTGGTTGGTATTTTTGCTTAATAAATGTATGAAAGAGGGGAAGGTACCTAGGGATTGGCAGAGAGCATGTATAGTCCCTTTTGTATAAAGGGAAGGGGGACGAAAGAGATTGTTAAAATTATAGAAGAATAAGTTTACTGAGTATACCAGGAAAAGTGTGCAGTAAGGTTATTATTGAAAGAATTAGAGGTAAGACAGAATGTAGGATTGTGGATGAGCAAGAAGGTTTTAGAGTGGGTAGGGGATGTGTAGATCAAGTGTTTATACTGAAGCATGTATGTGAACATATTTAGATAAAGGTAGGGAAGATTTTATTGCATTTATGGATTTAGAAAAGGCATATGATAGAGTGGATAGGGGAGCAATGTGGCAGATGTTGCAAGTACTGTATATGGAATAGGTGGTAAGTTACTAAATGCTGTAAAGAGTTTTTATGAGGATAGTGAGGCTCAGGTTAGGGTGTGTAGAAGAGAGGGAGAATACTTCCCGATAAAAGTAGGTCTTAGACAGGAATGTGTAATGTCACCATGGTTGTTTAATATATTTATAGACAGGGTTGTAAAAGAAGTAAATGCTAGGGTGTTCGGGAGAGGGGTGGGATTAAATTATGGAGAATTAAATTCAAAATGGGAATTGACACAGTTACTTTTTGCTGATGATACTGTGCTTATGGGAGATTCTAAAGAAAAATTGCAAAGGTTTGTGGACATGTCTGGGAGTGTGTGTAAAGGTAGAAAGTTGAAAGTGAACATAGAAAAGAGTAAGGTGATGAGAGTATCAAATGATTTAGATAAAGAAAAATTGGATATCAAATTGGGGAGGAGGAGTATGGAAGAAGTGAATGTTTTCAAGATATTTGGGAGTTGACGTGTCAGCAGATGGATTTATGAAGGATGAGGTTAATCATAGAATTGATGAAGGAAAAGAGGCAAGTGTTGTGTAGAGGTATATGTGTAGACAAAAAACGTTATCTATGGAGGCAAAGAAGGGAATGTATGAAAGTATAGTGGTACCAACACTCTTATATGGGTATGAAGCTTGGGTTGTAAATGCTGCAGCAAGGAGGCGGTTGGAGGCAGTGGAGATGTTCTGTCTAAGGGCAATGTGTGGTGTAAATATTATGCAGAAAATTCGGAGTGTGGAAATTAGGAGAAGGTGTGGAGTTAATAAAAGTACAGTGGACCCCTGCATAACGATGGCATCACATAGCGATTATTTCGCATACCGCTTACTTTAATTGCAAAAATTTTGCCTCACATACCGCTTAAAAACCCGCTTACCGATTTTCCTCCGAGACGCGTCCAATGTGTGGCCTGAGCCACGCTCACATGTTCCGCCGGTGGCATTGTTTACCAGCCAGCCTCCGCGGTAACATCCAAGCATACAATCGGAATATTTCGTATTATTACAGTGTTTTCGGTGCTTTTTCTGGAAAATAAGTGACCATGGGCCCCAAGAAAGCTTCTAGTGCCAACCCTACAGCAATAAGGGTGAGAATTACAATAGAGAAGAAGAAAAAGATCATTGATAAGTATCGCTACTATTGGTGGTACAGCTGCTGCTGCTGCTGCTGCTGCACTGTCAGCTGCTGCTGCTGCTGCTGTAGCATCGTCTGCTGCTGCTGCTGCTGTAGCATCGTCTGCTGCTGCTGTAGCATTGTCTGCTGCTGCTGCTGCTGCTGTAGCATCGTCTGCTGCTGCTGTAGCATCGTCTGCTGCAGCTGTAGCATTGTCTGCTGCTGCTGCTGCTGCTGTAGCATCGTCTGCTGCTGCTGCTGCTGTAGCATCGTCTGCTGCTGCTGTAGCATTGTTGCTGCTGTACCACCGTCTGTTGCTGCTGTACCACCGTCAGCTGCTGCTGCTGCTGTAGCACCGTTGTTGGTGTGGCTTATTGAGAATACCAAGAAACAATTAACCCCAGAGGGTTTGCCACCCAGGGTAACCCAAAAAAGTCAGTGTCACTGAAGACTGTCTAACTTATTTCCATTGGGGTCCTTAATCTTGTCTCCCAGGATGCAACCCACACCAGTCGACTAACACCCGGGTGAACAGGGAAAAATGCCTGGAACTAGTGCTCTATTGGTGAATTTAAAGCCAGCAAAGGTTGGTTTGAGAGTTTTAAGAATCGTAGTGGCATACACAGTGTGATAAGGCCTGTTCTGGAAGAAAATGCCAACAGGACCTACAGTACTCAGGAGGAAAAGGCACTCCCAGGACACATGTCTCATCAGTCATTGCTGCATCTTCAATAAAGGTAAGTGTCATTTATTTTTTCATTTAGTAGAGTAGTACATGCACAATATATACTGTGCATGTACTACTCTACTATTGCATGTACCTTCCCCTTTGTGTGTGGGGAAAATGTAAAATTTCATGTGGTAAAAAAATTTTTTTTTTCATACTTTTGGTGTCTTGCACGGGTTAATTTTATTTCCATTATTTCTTATGGGGAAAATTCATTCACATAACGATTATTTC